TGCTGATTTATGTGATTTACATATTGCTGCAATTGTATGTGTACAGTTAACATCGGCGAAAAACTACTTGTCAAGATAATACAATGAATATACGTATCTTAAGATTAAATTTTGAAACAAATATGAATACTGTCCACATAGCACATGTAGAGAGTTCAAAAGACTTCAGTCGTATGTCATAAATTTTGAGTTCATTTTCAAATGCAAAAAGAATTTTTTTAGAACTTTTCAGAAAAAGAATTCTTTTTGCATCTGAAAATAAACTCAAAATTAATGACATGCAACTAAATTCTTTCTGTTTTTTTTTAACTTTCTGTGCTATGTAGGTGACAACTTATTGATTTATTTATTGATTTAAATCCCGACATTTGTATCGATACATTACTGAAACTATATATATATTCATCATAATTCCAAGAACAAGATTCAATTTCCAGATAAATATCAATTCTAGTAACTTATTGATTAATTTATTAATGAAAATCCCAATATTCCGATATATCGATATCTTTATCGAAACTAGATAGATATATTTTGGATTATATTTTCTAAGGACAAGATTCAATTTTCAGATAGATAAATATGAAATTTATTTTATATCAGTGAATAATATATTATCTCAACCAATAAAATATGTTGTTAGTTTAATAGACAAATTAGATATTAAAATTCACTAGTGTTAAACACTATCCTAGAAAGCGAACCTATTTGCTTTGTTACGTTGATGATTATGTAGTTTCAGAATTGTGTAGTCTCATTAACTATGGTACACGCTTTCGTGTTAAGGCAATCTGCATGACGCCTTGAGCGTTAATAAGCGAGACCAAAAATATGTTTTTTTCATATCTATAATATTTTTGTTTGTTTTTTAAAGTAATTTTCTTTCTAGATAGTAATTAGTTAATCATTTTCCTCAAATGTATAAAAATGCATAAAAAATCATTTATAAAGATGAAATTAATCTATATCATGATGTTATATAACACAGATCAAGATCAAATTCTCTCTAAAATGCCATATTACAGACTTCGAAGATTTTTTTACGCTAAACACGATGCCATTAACAGAATTTTCGTATCAGGTTTTTGAATAAATTGAGATAAAATAACATTTTTAACACTTTTTACTGCAAAACAAAAACTTGTTTCCAAATAAAAACGGCACCTAAATTTCAAAACTAAATTTGAAAGGTCTTAAATTGTACTTTTAGGTATTATTGTATATAAAATTTATTTAAAAATTTGCTCAAAAATTTACAAAAATTTATAAAATTCTGATGTGTTACTCAAATTCTATCAATGCTATCGTATTCAGCGAAAAAATATTCAAAGTATATACTATAGCACTTTGGAGAGAATTTGATGTTTGCGTTACAGAGCTTCTGATTGCGGTTTCATATTTAGTGCTACAGTATCCTCATTTTGCAGTTAGTCACAGTTCTATGACTCATGTTTCCTTTGGAATCCTTTGAATCTGACATTCCAGAGTACGAAAATAACATACGCGGCATATGACTGCAGTTGCTACAACTTGTCAGCGTGAAACGAGATCGCTAATAATCATCATGTGTCAAGCTCGATCGCCATTACACATCACTACCGGCCATTCTATTTTTTCAACCAGGAGCTCTATCTAATAAGGTACGAAATCGAAAAATATCATAATCAAATCGATTTTATTTCTTGATCTCTTTGAATCGATAAACTAAATCAATGAATTCAATCAATGAATTTAATTTTAGATTTATATATTAAATGTGTAAAATATATTTAATTATTTAATTTTACAAGTAAATATCCTTCTACTTGTTAAATGCACGCATATCTTTAATTTGCATTATAAAAAATTTGAATGAAATGTTTTATTCTAATATTGTGAAAAAATAGCTTTTAGTCTAATAGTTCTAACGAAAAATATACAGTTATATTAATCACGGCATTATGTAATTTGAAAAAATTTAAAAGGTGGAAAATCGATATCGATTTTTAGGTTCTAAAGAGATCAATGATTTATGTACATGTTCTGTATCTACGCAATGAATAGCTTTAAATGAAAATGAAGCAGTAATTCGTAAGTGACATGCCTGTTAATAAAATTATTTATGATAAAATAAAGAACATACATATTTATATAAAAAAATAAATATTGATAAAAATTACTAAAAAATTCTAATTCAGAGCATTTTATTTATACGAAAATTACAATTCATTTTGTCGTATATACAAATGAATGTACAAATGGAAAAAATCATTCATAAAATAGTCGAATAATTATTATGAATCATATTATATGTAAATATGTAGTACGAACTGAAATATCTCATTGTTTTATCGCTCCAATAATTTTCAATTTTTACAAAGAGGTAAAGAATTTAATTATAACGTTTACAGATGTTTTTTAACGTGCTAATATTATTTTGTTCAATTATATATTGTTGTACTTATGTACAATCTCATTGCATTATATTTGTGTTTTACGATCCGCGGAGTTAATTTGAATTTTTATTCTATTTTGATATTGGAAATCTATCGAAGCAATATTATTTCGCATTAAAGCGTATCATTGCATATAAAAAAAAGCGATCCCTCAAAACGTAATATGCAAATTCTGTAATTTCTGCACGTGCGCAGAGACAACCGCAATGAATAAGAGATGTAGGAGGAGGTGAATTATACGGAAAAGAAGATATATGAGAGAACGTGACGAAACGAAAATAGCAGGGCACGGCGGTGACTATTAATGGGCTTCGCAGGAGCCGGATCTCACATTAAGTATGCAGCGAAAACTTTATTTTCCCTCAACATTTTCCTCGTTTTTTTTGCCGGCTTGTTTTTCCGTCCCGACTGTCCGTCTAGGGCGGGTGCATATTTGAGCAACTTGATCCGCCACAGACGAATTACTCACGTAAAGTGCACACTGCTGATGCATATTTGATGAAAGAGTCTATAGACCCTGTGATTACGCCCAACAGTTCATATTACAAGTTCGTAAACTAAGTATTCTGTCTCTACGAGAAAAATGATAGTTCTCTGGGAGTGTTTCGAGAATATAACAAAATAGAGTTCTGATATACGAAGCTCGCGAATTCTACTGTCGCAAATATTCGATCGATAATTCGCAGTTCCAACGTAGACGATCCATGGAGATGATCGCTCCGTCGTTCCTGCTACCATTTTGCTCATCGTTCTATATCACCGAAATTTTTCCGTGGAAATATCAAAATTTATGAGTGGTGCTTCTCACTTTCAATACTTTTAATGAATATTTCAACATTTTAAATTCGTATAATAATGATGTTTCGCAAGAGTACTATTGTACTATTTGTAAATATATTTTCACAGAGCAGTAATTGCGCAAATTTTCGCTCCAAGAATCTAACGTCCGGTTGCCTGGCAAGTGCTAATAATATTAATTCTATCAAAAAATGCAACAAAGGCATTAAAATGATCAATTGCTCGAACGAATTCACACGAGTGCATCATTTAATTCTATCTGTTGGATATTTTATTCGGGTAAAAGTTTACAAGTGATGTGCTTTCACCGCTTATTTCCGTCAACCCGCGAGGAAAGTGCACGCGGAGTGTAGCGAAGAGAGCAACTAATGAGTGTCATTAACGATTGCGTGGTTTACCGTCACAATGGAGAAAATCAGAAAATGACAGTTACTAACTGTAAGCACAGATGGACGCGGATAAAACGACTTCACGCTTTGCCGGGAGAGCAATGTGCGCGTATAATATAAAAGTACGCTGCCATGCAGATCGCGACGTTATTTCGATTTTAGGAGTTTGAGTTAAAGGTTTAGTTTTACATTTCGTTAGTACTTTGAATGACAAAGTATATATTTCGAGGATCCAAGATATTAGTCAATTCAAGGTATAACTAACCTGAGATATCGTGAGAAAACAAAGAAATTCTACACTTCTCCGAAATAAATTGAAAATAATATTAGCAATTTAAGCGATAGTTAAGATTTACGATTATCTGCTGAAAACGTCTTGTCGATTACAACGTATATCGTCAAGAAAGATGATAGTTAACGCGAGAGTGTTTGTGTTGATCGCACTGATAACCTACGGCGTATGCGCTCATACAGTTGACATTCGAGAACCTTATAAAAAAACTAATGATAAAAAATATGCTGGATCCATGCTGGTTGAGATCGCAAAGGAATTAGTGCAAAGATCGACGACCAGCAGTCAGGTAATAAAAATTATGCATCATTATATTAAGAAATTACGAAAATATAATCAGCTCCTGACAATTAAATGTGTGAAAAACAAACGGAAAATAATGTTTTTTCAATAACAGTGTCAAATTTGAATTAAATAAGTATTTATTAAACTGAAGTTCAGACCCAGTAAACATCAAGTAACATTGGATCAATATTATAATTTTTTATTCAATAATATAAATTATGATTTACAGTTATTGTTACCTGATGTTTACAGATGAGGTATAGTATACTAGAATCGTGTATTAATCTGAATGGCTTAAGATGGATTTTACTTGCATATTATTTATTTCAAAATCAAATTATATTTCACGAGAAATGTTAAACTAACCAGAATTAAATTAAAACGTAATTGCGATATTATAGGTGCTGACTTTAAATCTCTCGAATTTGCTATTACTTTTGGTGCTTAAAGCAGTTGTGTTTGGTGCTGGCTACATAGGACATGGTTACAAAGGACGCGAATTAGAAGATGGTAATTTCGAAATGTATATGTATAAACCGTTAATATTCATTTGAATATACTTTTCGTCGTACAATGGTAATTGCATTAACAATTGACTATATGCATGCAATACTAATATGTTGCCGCGGCACTTTGGAATAAAAGCTCGGCGAATATACACAGCGAAATTAAAAATTATAATTACAACTGTTTTTAATTATAACACTGTATTAATTTCAGAAAATATTGTATCAGAGGGTGAGCTTGCATTAGCGCTTGGGTATCTGATCGGTGATACTTGTTTGTACAGAGCAGCTTGCGAAAAGCCACATATTGCGAGAGAATATCTCGGCGCAGCAGAAATGCTTTTGCAAACAATGAAGTTGATGCCGCAGTATGTATACATATATTAAAGGAAAATGGTAAAAACTTATAAATTAAATATTGTGTGGTATGTACACAAAAAAAAATATTCAGTTTTACGCTTTTCAAAGACGCAATCTTTACTATTGATTATTATCGATAAACATGAGAAACACTAGACACTTTTTAAAGAGAAACTTATACATCGAAGGATTAAAAAGATGTCTATTTTTACGAATTTTGTTGTGAAAACTATTCCTTTTATTATACTTAAACAGGATTTTAACCAATGTTTTACATGTATATTATAGTGAGTATTACATAAAAATTTTAATTAAAAATATTAACGAATAGCGCCAACACAACTATTACTATCAATAGTAATAGCGGTTTATAGTAACCATCACAGCTTTCACATACAATTTGTCTAAAATCCAATAAGCTTTTGAAATATATTAATAAATCTTGTCACAGATGTGTGTGATTTTAAACATTCTTGATTTTGACAAAATGTCGAACTTCTAAATTTAAAAGATGTAATTTTTCGTCAAAAAATTGTTCGTTCTTTGATTATAAAGACTAAATTTATTAATATATTTTTCAGAAACTTTTTAGATTTTTTGTTTCAAATAAACTGTATGAAAGCTACGATGGCTATCGTAAGCCATTATTGCTATTAGAGCCAACAGTTGTATCAGCGTTATTTGTTAATATCTTTTATTAAAAATTTTATATAATATTCATTAATATACATGTAAGATATTGATCAAAATCCTGTTTAATTAGTAGTTTTTGCAAAAAAAGTCGTAAAAATAGGCATCTTTTTCATTCTTCAGGATGAATATACCCTCCACCTCTTAAATCAGAAGTTGTATAATATTTGATTATTCAGATTTATATTTATATTCGAATCTAGCTCTTTCTTCTTTTATAAATTGTTTCCATTATCCAGATATATAATTAAATAATACGACAGTAAAATTCTTTCTTCATCAAAATTAAATTGGCTCAGTAATATATATAATCAAATAATTTGATTTAATGTTAAATATTATTATTTTAAAGAACAAATATCATATTCATGAAAAATCAGAAAATAATGTATAATGTTGCTGCGAAAATAAAGCAGCGAATATTCTATACATAAAATTTGCATTTCCGCAGAAGCTTACCTGCAGAATCCAATTATGAAAAGACGATCGCAGAGTTCCGGAAGGCGATTGAGTACGGCAATATCGAGCAATGTCCACCAGAGTACAGCTGCAAAAAAGAGAATTTAAATAATTTCTTACAAAGTGAAAAACGATAATGTTATTTATAAATATTTATCAAACATTCCGTAATACTTATTTTCGTAGATAAGTTATAAATTAGATAAGTTATAAATCGCACAACAGAATAATATTTTATATAAATATATCTTTTAGAATTATTAATCTTTTGCAAAAATTATTTTATTTTTATTGCCATAATTGGAATTATAGTTATTCGATGATGGGATAACTTACAAAAAATGGTAAAAACGTTAACTTTTATTAATAAGAAAATAAAAATTATTTTTAGAATTATAAATTACATTTTTTATAAATTTAATTTTATACAGAAAATATAAAATTATTAATATATATTATTGATTCTAATGTGTTACTGAATTAATTATTAAACAGAAGTATTAAACATATCGAATTATCATATATAATTAACGATACAAATAATATAATTAATATAATTCAATACGGTCAATATGAAAACGGCTTGTAATTTGCATTTAATATAAATTTAATGTACCACATAATTATAATCTATCCAGAAATTATTGGTCGATTTTGGTTAATGCTATCAATGTCGGTGATTCGATTAATTATTTAAGTCTAGCTCACTATATAGAGTATATACTAATAAGTACGCTATAAAATATTTTAAGAAGTGATTCCTCATACAAATTCAAAACAAAAACTTCATATGACTATATATCTCGAACGGCTTAGTTTCAAAGATACAAGTAAAAAAATATCGTTTTTTTTTTCAAAAATTTCGAAACTATTTGAGCTATTTTGATGAAATTACGAAGTACTTAAACCACTGACTAAAATTATGTATACTAATGTCTACTAATGTCCAGTAATGTCCATTAATATCCCAGTTAATGCCCTAGTAATACTCTATAATGCCAGTAATGCATAATTTCATACCGCTTATTATAATACACAATTTTGTTAAATAATGCTCGTGCACAGTAATGCTTCAAATCGTACACCGCAATATCGATCCTCAGCTGTTTACTCGTTAGATGAAACTTTAAACATATATAATGAAATTTCATCAAAATAATTCGAGTAATTTACAAAATTTTTCCTTTAACTTTAATACCCTGTACCTTTGTTACTACTATCCATTTTAGATATATGATTATATCAATAAGTTTTCGTCATGAATATTTGTGAGGAATATCATCCCTTAAAATCTTTTCTATGTTTATATTTAATAAAAAAACCCGAATACAACCACAACTTGAGACACAAATATTCTCTTAATTCGAACAACTCTCAATAATTTCTAGATAAATCGAATATATAATTAACGCAAACAGAACTCCATTTTTATGCTGCAGTGTTAGCAATGACGCTTATCTTTGAAAAATTGAGACTAACGATACAAAAGAAATTGCAGATAGACTTGACGGAGAATCTCACTTACCACTCCATGTATGTGTAACACATACAATTGAAATGATTTGTGACCATAGTAGGTTTCTTCCATCGTGTCGTTGTATTAATAAAAATTATGACAATCTTTGTTGAAGACAGATTCACATCTCCTTTTCGTTATTGCGCCGTGCGCCGCTGGCGCTGCGTATATTTCTTTTCGATTTCTGCCACCGAGCGACGCTGGAAGCGCACAGCTGCCTAACCTAACCTTAAAGTCGCGGTGACGTATGCGAGAGTCGCGACAGTGACGGGTGATTGTTGTAGATGCTGACTCCTTTGATTTTCGCCTGGTCACGTTGCGTTGAACGTATAAACAATTTTTCATTTTTTGACTGCTAACGTCGCTCTTTATACGCTTTCTCTGAAAGATGAGTTCTATAGGCACAGGAGTGAGTATTTCCGTACATTGTTCAATACACGATCGCATAATGTCACATTAATACGGTTGACATTCGAAATCCTAACCTCACTTTCGTTCCAGTATGACTTGTCCGCCTCGCAATTTTCACCGGACGGACGTGTATTTCAAGTGGAATACGCGCATAAAGCCGTAGAAAATGGAGGGTGAGTTTCTCTCATCTTGTTCCTCGTGAATTCTTATATAAACATCGATCGGAGTAGTATTCGCGCACAATAACATCCTAGTGAAAATCGATGCGACACGTAGAATATCTAAAATATTAATAAGGAAGAATACATGCACGTATGTCTACACTTCATTTAGGCCGGAATCAGACTACGCATTGAAGATAGATTGAAGATTAAAGATTGAAATTTGACCAATGAGGGCAAAGGAATTTTAGCTCCTATTGTTTTGATTAGTCAAATTTCAATCTTTCAAGCTTCGATCTCAATCTTTAATGCCTAGTCTGATTCCGGCCTTATAGGCAGTATTCATAGGCCAGCATTCATAGTAGGTTCTTATTTTAAAACCGTCTTAAGTAATGTCTTAAGTCGCTAATGCGGCCCTCTGATTGGTTCATGATATCTTAAGATTGTACTTAAGACGGTCTTAAATATAAAATCCGACTATGAATACCGGCCATAGTCCGTTAGCATTTTAAGATCGTTTTAAGTAATATCTTATAATGCTAATACATAGCCCTCTGATTGGCTTATGATATCTTAAGGCTGGTATTCATAGTCAGATCTTATATTCAAGATCGTCTTAAGTACAGTCTTAAGTACAATCTTAAGAAGTCATGAACCAATCAGAGGCCGGTATTCATAGTCAGATCTTATTTCAATCGACTATGAATATCAGTCTCTAATTGGTTCATGACATCTTAAGACTGTTTTGAATATAAGATTCAGCTATAAATATCATCCTATGTATGTGATCACGTTTTGTTGCAGGACAGTTATTGGTTTACGAGGGAAGGATGGCATAGTATTTGCTATCGAAAAGATAGTAACGTCGAAGCTCTATGAACCAGGTGCTAATAAACGAATATTTAACATAGATCAACACGTTGGTATGGCAGTCTCTGGTATAATATCTGATGCAAGACAGATCGCAGAGACTGCGAGATCAGAGGCTGCTAGTTATAGGGCACAATACGGAGTCGGTATTCCATTAAAGTATTTAAACGAAAGAGTTTCTATGTATATGCATGCATATACCTTATATTCTGCTGTACGTCCGTATGGTTGCTCTGTCCTGCTCAGTGCATATGAGACAGATGGTCCAGCATTATATATGATTGACCCATCAGGAGTATCGTATGGCTATTATGGCTGTGCAGTAGGTAAGTGAAGTCCGTAAAAAAAATGGAACATAGATTATATTCAAGGTTCTTATATTTAAAATTTTAAGTACAATCTCTTAAGATGTTGTAAACCAATCACAAAGCAGTATTAGCATCACAAGATGTTACTTAAGATGATCTTGAAATAAAAGCGGACTATGAATACTGGCCATACAAACAGACATTGATGATTTGTGTTCATATTATTCACAGGTAAAGCAAAACAGTCGGCAAAGACGGAAATTGAAAAATTGAAGTTATCAGAAATGACTTGTAAAGATTTGGTTAAAGAAGCTGCTCGTATTATCTACCTTGTCCACGATGAACTAAAGGATAAACAATTCGAATTGGAAATGAGTTGGGTTGGTGCACACACTAAAGGAATTCATCAACGTGTGCCGGCAGATTTAAAAGCTGAAGCTGAAACGAAGGCACGGCAGGCAATGGCAGAAGATTCGGATAGTGATACGGAGGATATGTGAAATGATATATAAATACTGCCGTTCAAATTCTTTATATTGTAAGCGATAATATTAAATATAAAATTAATACACACGAATATATGCATTGATTAATGTTTTTAAATGATTGAAGCAAGTAAAGAATATAATTATGATGCTACAAATTTCTAAAGAGCTATGACTTCTTTTGATCTTGTTATAATTTAAAAAAAAATAGATTTATCTCTTACTTAACATCCACTTTGGAGAATTAGACTTATTTTAAAGCTCATTTTTAAAAATAAAATGAAATATGTATTTCCAAAACTTATCTAATATTCATCTAATAATTCTAATCTTTAAATCTTCAATCATCCTCTTATAAAACTGAAGCATATATTGATCAAGGATTCACAGACAGTGAATTGACTCTTATACAAAGCTATGCATTAATTCCGTTTTAAAACTTATTTGTTAATCTGGAAGTTTCTGCAAAGTTTCCTACGAACTTTAGTATCATAATATACATAGTAAGTTCGAAAACTAAATTCTGATATTTCACTTGACCGGCGACTAGCAATCTGAATCGCTTAGCACATCTTCCTTAAATAAAAAAATTTATATATATCTTCTTCAATTTTTAAAATATATTTTGCATATAAGAAATTATTTAACGCTCAATAAAAATGATAATATATATTTAATTTATTATAATAATATGATATATATTATCAATAATATACACGTTAATATACATATATAATCAATATACATTTACTACTATTTAGACTACTAAACAGTTCAATTTTGAATTTTAATTCCACTTTTTTCTAAATATCTAATATGATATTTCCTCTATTAAAGAATTTTTTAAAGATTTTAATATATTGCTACTTAAATGCCACACTTTAAAAAAAATATATTGTTTCTTTTTTATAATAATAACATTACAAGCCTAATTTAATAATGCATTATTTTACTTAATTCTTTAATCAAATGCGGAATATTTTCAAAGGAATCAAAATGGTTATTACATAAGTTCTTTGTTGATAAATATGAATCATTTTCGTTATTATATATCATTGTCTCTTTTAATTTTAAACGTAGGCTGAAATATAGTTATGTACGAATCGGCTTACTGTTTCGATAAAAGGTATGACCGTTATACGTAACGAACACGTTGCAAAATTTCGTTATAAAAACCGATAACAGCATAAAACACGAATTGTCGCGAGATTTTATTCTTTCATGTACGACTGATGCAATTTAATCGAGGAATTTGCAAAACTGTAACAACTAGTATCATGATATACGATATGATTATCGAATGTAATCCCTTTATAACAATGGTTGAGTTAATTGGATAACAACGAATGACATTTTTTTCCCTCTTCCTCCAGATCGCCACTTGTT